TTATGCTGTATTTTCATCCTCTGTAGTCACCAGCTGCAGGTGTTTGCCTCACTCCTACTGTTAGGCTCTGGAGTTTGAATAAAAATGCCCAAAGCTGCAGGAAGGTGTCTTATAAATGAATATAACAGAAACAGAGATATAATGAGTGTGGCTGCCATCGGGGTTTAAGCTTTACTGGGCGATTATCACACAGTAGCAGCATCCAGTCACAAAGCACAACAGTGGAGCTTCAGTTAATAGTTAGCCTGAGCCAAGCTAGCTGTCTGACACTTCCTGTGCTCATACAGGACAGTAATAACTCACCACTGTTATAAACTCGACCCTCACTTTGATGTTGATCAGCAGCCTGCACAAGACTAGAAAAAGCTCGCTTTAATTTGCCTTACAAGTTAAATATTTGTATCCACGAACGCCTGAAACTGTATTTTCTATGAGCAGACTAGTCTTTGGGAGTCTTCGCTGCAGGGGAGAAACACCTTGTTCTGTATTGGCAACGTGGTGCCATTATAAGTTACGTTTCCTTTTTTGAAACCAGAACCAAAACTTTATGTTAACATTAAAATATATATGCTTGCATTCAGGATCAAGGCTGAGGAAGCATCCTGAGCAGCCAATCACTGACAGACACTGAGACCAGAAGGCCTCATGACCCGAGCTCCCAAAACAATAAAGAAGAAGCCACAGAGCAGCGGTGCTAACTGACAAATGGCAGCTTGTCAGTTACAACAAGACAACAAGTGACAGCTGACAGACATGTGAATCCCTCCCTGCAGTTTTACCGAACTTGACCCTCAAGTAAGCATGTATACAACATATTTCAGTAAAAGTACGGACACAACTTTCACCAACAGGAAGATAAACAAAAAGCTCTCTTTGTGTTTTCAGTTCTTTTTACTTCTGTTTGCTACAGTTATATGTAAAAAATAAATACAAAAGCATGAAATGGATTTAGTCGACAACGACATCAGAGATGAAAAAGATATATTAACATCACGAACGAGCACTGATAGTAAACTGGATCCTAAAAACTGGATCTTAAGGATTCAAGTTCAGGATTAGTTTACTGATATGTACTAAGGTCTGATCAACAGTTTTGATACAATTGCATGTAATGATAGAAATTAATGTCAGTGTCACTGAGTGGTGCCATTAAGAGCTCTTGCAACTTATTTTCTAAAAAGATTTGTTGTTTTATAAATGACATGTAGCTCCTCCCACTCTCTCTTCAAATGCTGTATATACTTTGTGTCTCTATTTATTGGTTGTGGTATATTTGTGCCTGGACTGTTACATCTGCGTTGCATGTGTGTGCGCACATTTGTTCACCTCTCTGTGCAAAGATGGTTTTAACTACAGATACGTGTCAAATACAGCGCGCTGCACCCATGTACAGGTTTCTTGTTTCCTGTACTCCTGGTTCAGTATTTAGCCATGAGAAGTGTAACCAAGACTTATTCATGTGGACAGAAACTAAACCAAGACGGTTGTACTCCAGATGTGGTTCTATTGTTCTTGAAGTGTAAAACGTCTCATTGCCAGTATGAGCTGCTGTATGTTAACAAACCTCGAATAGAGTTTATTTCCATGATGAAGTTGTGCTACAGATGGCTGCATACAGACACTGAGTCTGTTTGGATAAGAGCATGTTTCCTTTACGTTTACCACAGTGAACAGAGCCGCAGAGACAAAGACTGAACACAGGAGGTTGGTTTAAGTTTAAGGCTGAAGAATATTTATCATAGTTCAGACCATAAACAATAAAAAAGATGCAACTCGTCACCATCATGTCACCCTTTGGAGAACCTGGTACACATGTATGTATTTGCTGTTGTGTTAATCCATCCATTTTCTTCCGCTTATCCGGGGCCGGGTCACGGGGCAGCAGCCCAAGCAGCAAAGCCCAGACCTCCCTCTCCCCAGCCACCTCTCCAGCTTTCCGGGGGAACACCAAGCGTTCCCAGGCCAGCCGAGAGATATAATCTCTCCAGCGTGTCCTGGGTTTGTCCCGGGGCCTCCTCCCAGTGGGACATGCCCAAAACACCTCGCCCGGGAGGCGCCCAGGAGGCATCCTTGTCAGATGCCCGAACCACCTCAATGGGCTCCTTTCGATCCATATACATGTTTATCGTTAATCTATGTACATGTACTTTAATCTGAGTGATTGGAGCAGCCACATGCAGAACAACAAACAGCAGTGGACACTGTGTACAACTATAATGCAGAAAGGACAGAAATGATCTGACATGCGATTCTTTTTCCCTAGTTTGTTACAATTTTACATGATAAAACTAACTGCCAGGTAAAAGATAACAGACATGAATCAAATGTGTTTAAAAACAAAAACGTGTTAAACATATTCATGAAAAGCACTGAAGTGTCTTATGATGCTCGTTAAAAACATGCCTGGTTACACATACATATATGTTTTGTCAATACAACCTGAAACCTGTTAATGTGTAAAATAAATACATAATAAATGAATTAAATTAAATGCATTTATCGTCAGCTCTGGACATTGTTTCTTAGTTCAGCTAGCAGCTTGTGTGGCGTGTGCACAGCTACAGTTTCAGGGGTGACACAGTGGCTCACCCGGTGGTAAATTAGTGATTCATTTTCTTCCATCGTTAATTAATTCCAACCATTCAGCTGTTGTAAACGGACTTGGATTCCCGTTGACAGAAAATGTTTTTGGGAATAAAATTTGATTCTTATTGGCCTGAGCACTTATAAACTGGCCTACTCTACAACAATGGATCACACAACAGTGCTGAATACTTTTCACTACAGCAGATGTCTTTGGAAAGTGCTGTAGCTACATTTAAGGACATGATTCCTCCACTGCTAATTTCATCAATACCATGTGCAACACAGCCCAGAGCAGCTACTGTGTGCACTCAGTTATCTTAGTAATTGTAAAACATCCTCACACTGTATGACTCTGGATACTGTGGCTCCTCTGAAAAAGAAAGCATCAAATCGAAGTACTTGACTCCCTGGTATAACTCTCACGTGTGCACCTTAAAGCACATAACCTATAAGCCTGGACAGAAATGCCATCTCACTAATTTAGAAGATCTTTATTTAGTCTGGAAAATGACTTTTTCCCCCCTCTAGAATAGAATAGAATAGAATAGAGGACAGAGGCTATAAAAAGTTCTATAAAAGCTAGCTAGCTTACTATTGATCAGTGATTGAAGACACTAAGAACAATCACAGGTCTTTCTTCAGCGCTGTAGGCAGGTTCACAAAGAGTCAGAGTTTTGTTGAGGCAATTATTCCTTTAACCTTAACTAATGACCTGTAGCGAACTGATTCCTAACAGCTCAGTTCCTTGGACTTGTCAGCTTGCCATCACGTTTATCGACTCCACTTGAGCTCCAATCAGCTGATTTCAGTTCAAGTGGCAAGGCAGGAAATTGATGTGCAGTCTACAGCGTGAATATGGGCGATCGTGGCTCCAGAGTTGGCAGTTCGTCTTGTTACCGGTTCGAGCCCCGGCTCGTACAGTCTCGGTCGTTGTGTCCTTGGGCAAGACGCTTCACCTGCCGCCTGCTGGTGTTGGCCAGAGGGGCCGTTTCATATTGTTTGTGGAAACTTTACACAGAAAATGTGTATTTCACTTTAAGCAACCGTCAGTGATTGTGCATGAGAGAGAGTGGAGATGGCAGTGGGCGTTTTTGAATTTGCACAACATCTCTTGCACAGTGTGAGAGTTTAGAAGAGCCCCCCCTCCCTCTCAAACACAGAGATTGGCTTTGGTTAACAGAACTTGTTCAGGAAGAGTAAATTGAAACTTTTGATGTGTTAAACATGAAAGGCAACACGTTATTTTTGCCCTGAAATGGAGCGTGTGGAGTGTGTTTTTAAAGGAACTGGAATGAGATGATAACCTGCTG